TTACTACTAGTAAGGCACTTGTTACTACTAGTAAGGCACTTGTTACTTGTTCGATTTCAGTGCCAAGAGTGTGCTCCACTTCACTTGTGTGGTGCAAGAAAGAATGATGGAACAATACTCTAAGAGTGAGATCGACACAGCACAAAGAGACCTCAGATACTGGTCTATTGTTATGTAAACAGTACAAGCTGATCACGGAGAATTGATTTCTTGGGTAGTGGTCGCTTGGAGGATATGCTCTGAAGCGCATCAAGAAGGTGGATGGAAAGGTGCAGCCGGGTAAATTGCATGAACTGACCTGACACTCAAGACCCTTCTTCCGACGCTGTCCAAAAAATCCTACTCTGTAAAGATGCTGCATTTTGTATAGTGAAAGGCAGAACATGTTTGATCACAAGTTCGTGATAATTCAGTCAAGTAGAGCAGCACTTTTTCTTGCAGGTGCCTGAGGAGGTGCAGGAAGAGTGTAAACTTCTTTCGGCCGTGAGTCATCCCTTTGTGCTTCAGATGGTGAAGTCCTTTGAGCTGCTTGGCCTTGTCGCCTTGTCCGTTGCATCAAACTGATTTCCATGGAACAAACAATAATGAAGCCGCTTGGTCTTTCTCCTCATCCTTGGCACCTTTTTTGCAAAAAAGGGTTCTTCCAGGAAGCGACCACTCCCTCTTTTAAGGGACGGGAGAAACTGCCTTGAGGACAGGATCACTTGCTGCTGCCTTTGTGGGCATTTATTTAACCCTCCCTGCGGCTACCTGCCAAGACCAGGTCTGGTGGATCTTGATGGTGCGAGTGGTGGATTTTCTTGGATTTTGTTAGTAATTAACAATTCCGTTGGATGGTCGGCCTGGAAGACGATTTCGTGGGTTAGGCAGCGGGAGGCGCCAGAGCCACTGGACAAGACCAGTGAGAGTCAGGCAATGCGGCGCAGTGTTCTTGAGCCAAGGACAGACAAAGGGATCTATATCCTCACTGAGCTCATCACGGGTGGTCAACTCTACGAACAGATGAGGGACAGATTTTGCGACCTGTGGTACTGCCAGGGGACGGGTATTGAAGAGACGGTGCAGCACTGGTGTTGTTGTTGTTGTTGGTGGTGGTGGTGGTGGTGGTGGAGGATTTGAGACAGTGCCGTTCCTAGCTTTGCACGGACATCCTGAGTCAGATGAACTCTTTTGCAGGACAAGATGGGTGCTGTCAGCAGGCGACATGCACAGCATCTTGGATTTAGATTAGTTTGGAGTTCGGATTGCGGAGCGGCCCTCTTTCAAAAGTTTGGGTCTGTCCTGATGAGGGGAGACATAAGTTTTTCAAGCTCTTTTTGGCAAGCAGTGGTAGCCACACCATCCATGTTGCTTTGTTGAGGAATATGGGCATAATAATCTGAGGTTCTATATTGGCTCCCTAGTTCTCATTTTGGAGGCTTTGCATATCAATGGCGTCGCCTACAGAGATCTGAAGCCTGTGACTTGGATGAATTGCGGGAAGGCGCATATGGCATGCGAAGGCAAATAGAGGCGAAGTCAAGGCCGAGATAGTTCTGCTGCAATGAAGTCTTTTGTGTTAAATGCAAATTTGTTGCTTGCTAAGTTTCATATGCACGAACCTACTGTGTAAATTATGCGTTCTTGATGTTTTGTAACCTTAATCCACAACACCCAATTGACACAAGCTCATCCACGGTCTTCCTTTTGTGAGCCGTGCAGGTGTCTTCCATCGGTCTTGAAATGAGTTGCGACTTGCAAGGCTTTGCGAAAGGATGGACCTAAGCGGGCTGAAAAGACGTATACAATTATCCTTGATAGGTATAGTATATAAAGGTATATATATATAATATAGATAAATACAGAAACACACACATGTATATATATATATATACACATGTATTGATCCATACACATTTATCCCCAAATTCTGAGTCTTGAGAGTTCCGGGTCCCATCTATGACTTTGTAAAGCTGAGTGTGTCGTTCATCCGTTCTCAAGGGCATGGTAGCTAGTCAGAAGTGGGTCGTTGATACCTTGTCCCTCATCTCGAACCTGTCTACAAAGGTGTCCTGTCCTTTGCATTTCTCTAGTTCTTGCCGCTCCTGGCTTGCATCTGGACATCCTCGTTTGCCTGCGTCTGGCCATCTTTCTTGCCTGGCATTTTCAGGCGACTCAGCGCCGTCCAGCTTCGTTTGCTGAATCGTCCACAGAATATGTTGATGAGCTTGCCAGCAAGTCGAGCAGTTGATCTCGGCCCTGAACTGTCTCCCCGCGTCACTTGAACGGACTGCACCATAATTTGCCTCACTTGCCTTTGTAGACCTTCCTCCTGTGGCACGGATGTAGCAAGAGGTGGATCAATGCCCCAAGGATGGAGGTGCATACGCAAGAGGCGGGACCAACACAGTATTTCCTACACATGCTAACCGTGGTCGCCTTTGCTCCACTGTTTCCACAGTTCACGAGAAAAGACGAGTCTTTCCCTCTCAGCCAAAATTCCATGTTCCGCATGGTGCCCGCTGATGTCACGGAATAAACCCTCTGGCTGAACTAGTGGGAAAGTGCAAGACTCAGTGGCTGTGCAGCCTGTGTGCGGCAGAGGGGAAAACACGCAGATGCAGTTAGCCGAGGCTTTTTACAAGCATGTAGAAAATAGTTTTACTGTATATATATGTATACACATACACATATGCGCACGCACAGTCTTTATATATATATATATGTATACACGTATAGAATAGATATATTATATTATATATCCTTTTCTCGGTCATGTTGACTGGATTAGACTCAGGAAAATGTGATGCTGGATTCACAGGGCTACTTGAAGCTGGTGGACTTTGGCTTAGCCAAAGATCTGATGGACGGCAGCAAGACTTTTACCGTCGTGGGCACTGTACTTTGGCTGAGCCGTCGTGCTCATAGTTCCAGGCATTGAATGTTTGTAGGGAGTTTGGTTCAAACTCTGCTGTCCCTCGACGCGGCGGCTTCCATCAATATCGCCCCTGCGCTCTATCCCTCAATTTGCTTTTGTCGATGAGGTCAGCTACATGGCACCTGAAATTTTTGGTGGCACGGGCGTCTTGGCAACATTTTATGTGTCACTTCCCCCCGAATGCATGTTCAGGTCTCCTTGAACTCAATGCATGGAAACTGTTTGGAATGCAGATGTGAGGCGTAGGGTCTAGGGGGCAACGATTTGCATTTGGGGTAAAAACTGTTAACCTGGCAACTGTCCTGCAAAGGCTGCGAGCTAGAAACGACTTTCGGTTTAATTTGACGGCTGATTTCGCTCCAAGGCTACAGCCTTGAAGCCGATTTTTGGTCCTTGGGCGTTCTGCTGTATGAGATGGTCTGTGGGAGACTCCCTTTCGGCAATGAGCCACTTGGATGATAGAGACTTTAGAACTTATAAAACATGAAGAGATGAGGCAAATGTCAACATCTCCTGACAAACAATCTGCAATTGCTCGTTGTTGGATAACTTGGGGATATTGCTTGCATTCAGAAACCTTGAGAATTATTCCAAACTACTTTCCGTTCCAATTGGATGTGGCCATGCCTACTGCATTTCTGCTTTACTGCCGCTTTGAAGGTGCCTGGAAGAAGACCATATCATTGGTGCCATCATGGAGGACCAGTCAGTGGGACGAACGCCCAGACAGCGTTTATAACGGTGTTGGCCTAGTTGTGAAATGTGGGTCTCAATCCACCCATTGAGATTGGAACGGAAGAGGCAGCGAGTGTTCGGTTTGCAGTCTGGCTTTCGGAAAGGCCCGCTTCGGTGAGGGGTGCCATGGTTGTGAGCCAGAGAAGACCCCTCCATGTTGGCAGCGGCCAGGAGGAGTTGGTCTTTCCGCCAAAGTACAATGACAATGCAGGCAAGAATCTGCTGCTTGGAGCTGATCTTCTCTGAACACAGGTTCCATTGAGGATCAGTTGCAAATTTGAAGAGGGACAGCTGACCGTGAAGGTACAAAATGTCGGAAGCATGCTGTTGTCGCACATTTTCTCCTTGGACATCTGGATACCACTCTTTGATTTTTGATTCCAAGGATAGAGCGGTTTTTAGTGAAGAATCCTGCAGAGCGCATCGGAAGCAATGATGGCTGGGCAGAAGTCAAGGACGGCAGCAGCGGACAGTTGACAGAGGCTTTTCGTCTTGTGCACCTTGCAGTTTTTGCGTTCGAAGTGTGGGCACCGGGCACGTTCTTCCTCTCTTCATTCCAGTTGCTCCATGGCCCTGAGCTTCATCAGGACCACAAGTTCTTCAAGGTGGTGAAAGGCACCCTCTGAGTAATTTGCAGATGTATCTGGATTTCAATCTCCAGCACATTTGAAGATTGGGAAGATTGCACGTTTCCATGCGTTTGCAGTTGGCAACTAGTCCATCGGAGAAGGTGGTTTCCTGTTGCCTTGAGGGGATCTCTTCACCCAGATTCTGAGCCGAGAGATGAGTCCTCCACTTCTGCCCGAAGGGGAGGAGTACTCGAAAGAGGAATTCTTGTGTCCCGGCTTCTTGTGTCTTTCTCCCTGTTGTGTCTTTTTCTTTGAAGCAGTTTGAGTCGCATGGTTCTTCCAGTATTTCTTGACAGGCAGCATATGTTCTTTGTAAATCTGTGTAAGCATCTCTTTAGCAAGTAGTCAGCGAAGAGGGAAGATTTCATTGCTGCTAGATGCACATAGCATGTATTGCAGGGTTGCTTCCAGTCTTCAGCCAAGGAGTGAGATCATAACCCTCAGATGCTCGACACAAAGAGAAACATCGGAAGGGCGCTTGAAACACATGCTCGCTTCGTTCAATTTGGGCCGAAGGTGGCTTTTCATTTCACGGCTGAGATCTAATCCTTTGTTCTTGTGTGTAACTGTATTAGTAACAAGAAGCTATTAGAAACAAGTGTATCGCTACTAGTAACAAGTGCCTTACTAGTAGTAACAAGGACGCTACGAACGTAACAAGAAGTCATTTGTCCATTTTCAAGAGACGTGCCATCCAAACCTGGAGAGTCCCAACCCCACAAACGGGTGCACGTCAGAGAGCTGGTCGGTTTAGATATATATATATATGTATGCTCTTTGGTGAGAACTATGGTATTCCCTTAAAATCTAGGAACCATATGAATAGTGCGAGCGTGAGCTATCCCGCATCCGGTTACTAGTAAGCTTACTAGTAGGTTGCCTTGCTGCACTTACTTAATCAAGTGGCCGCCTAATTAGTTAAGTAAGAGCGGGCCAAGAAAAAGAATGGTTTGTGTCACCATTTAATATATTTTGATGCAGTTGACACTCAGGCGATGCCGAAGAGCTGGCTGATGGAGAATTGTCCCTGGGATTCAGGTTCCGCCAATCTTCCGGTTTTGAGGAATTACAGCTTTCATCAGATACGTTATGCGAACTTATCAGACTTGACTGTGCCCGTAAAGTCAGTCGAACGGAGAGTGCAGCAATCTGGTATCAAGCAGCGGATTTGGGATCAATGATGGGCCATGAAGATGCTGCACCTTAAGGTTGCCTGTTTACCGTCTTAGTTGGGTGATGGCTCTATTGTACTGGGATTATTTATTTTAACGCGATCAAAGGTATTCGAATACCTCACCCTTGGAATACTTCTCACAAAACCAGGTGGCACGAGAATACCTCACGGCTTTTGAGATGAAGCCTGAAGACTCACGGTCGCCCTCGAATTCAAGGCTGAGAGCGCAGGAGCATGCCAAGGCCTGATGGGTGCAGCCCGGAAAAGAGCCAAGAAGGAGTCCAATGAGCCTCCTTGTTGCGTTGATCATCTATGGTCTACGGTTGGTGAAGAAACTAAGATAAACAAATCAGATAGTTTTTTCTTGCAAAACCTTCTGAAAGTGAGTCGTTCGCAGTAGGGTCGTCCCACCACAATAAACCTAGCTGACCTAGCTAAGGCTTGAGGCAGGTACTGACTTTTCAATACCGCAGCTGCTTGAAGAAGAAAGTGTTTGCTTCGAAGGTTTTGACCACACTGCAATCCCCAAGTTGGCCCAATGCTTGGTAGGCCGCCTGGGAAAAATTGGACGTTGAAAAGAGAGGACAGGTTTGCAAAGCCCGTTTTGCAGCAGGCTCCTGTGTGATTCCAAGGCAAGTTGTTCTTAAATCTGTGACCCATTTTGGAAGCGACAGTCAGACATGATTCCACCGGTGATTGAAGAAACGCCAGTGATTCAGAGATTCCGGCTTTCGAAGGTCATTCTATTTCTAAATGGAGCATGTCAAAAAATGTCGAGTGGATCCACTCTTGATTGCTCCCAATGAACAAGATCTCAAGCTTTGGTGCAGGAGTCGTCCCAAGTGAAGAGCTTGCTATGATTCTTGCAACTGCAGAGATTGATATGACCAGGCTGGGATAAAATCTTCGGCCAGGGCTGTTTCCAGCTAGAGAGTTTGATCACCTTTGTGTTGTACTGCTAAGGAACCTCTTAACATAGGACAAACGACAAACATGTGCTTGCCTCCGGCATGCGGGTGAAGTGTCCGCAACCATGGTGCACAGCACAGCATGAGTGTGGCCAATGCAGGAGGCAGATTGATGCTTTAGTGGAGGCGGTGGACACCAAAGCAACTTGGTGGTGGACAGGAAGGGTTTCGCGGGTTTGAACCCTGAAGTCACACGGGAACTTCCAATCTCACATCAGCTTCAGAGATGTTTGATGGCAGACTCCTCAGCTTCAGTCTTTCGGGAATCAGTGTGTCATAGATGGCCTTTTACCATTGGTTGGTTTATTCCCGAGATAGCGAAGCTATGGCGTTCTTACTTCAAATAACAATGAGTTGCCCGTGCGCGCTTTTGAGACAGGTTGCTGGTGCCGGGTGCCGGTCCTGGTGCTGGTGCTGTGAGCTGGCTGCGCACGTGGTGGAGACAGGTTGCTGGTGCTGGCTGGGTGCCGGGTGCCGGTGCTGGTGCTGGTGCTGTGAGCTGGCTGTGCACTTGGTGGAGACAGGTTGCTCGTGCTGGTGCCGGGTGCCGGTGCTGGTGCTGGGTGCCGGGTGCCGGCGCTGGCGCTGGTGCTGTGAGCTGGCTGTGCGCGTGGTGGAGACAGGTTGCTGGTGCCGGTGGTGGTGCTGGGTGCCGGGCGCCTGTGCACGTGTTGGAGACAGGTTGCTGGTGCTGGTGCTGGGTGCCGGTGCTGGTGTGGCGCTGTGAGCTGGCTGTGCACGTGGTGGAGACACGGTGCCGGTGCTGGGTGCTGGCAGTGCGCGTGGCAGAGACAGCGGGTTCCGGTGCCGGTGCTGTGAGCTGGCAGTGTGCGTGGTGGAGACTGGGCGACGGTGCTGGGCTGGCTGTGCGCGTGGTGGAGACAGGGCGCTGTGTGCTGAGTGCCGGGCGCTGGGTGCTGGGTATACCGGTGCTGGGTGCTGGTGCTGGCGCCCGCTTCTGACAGTGAAGTGATAACAACTTCCGCTGCTTGCAGCAGTGAAGGGCGACCAAGCGCCGCTTCTGACAATGAAGTGCCAGCAGTCATGGGCCAATGGGCCGCATGAACTTATGCACGCAACATCATACGGTGTTGTCGCTTGAGCGTTCTTTGTCTATTACCCTAATAGCTGTGGGGTATTTACACTCTTCAGGTTCTGTTTTGGCCGACAGCTGTGTCAAGGGCTGTACTGTTTGCGCGCATACTTTTGTACGTATAATGTTCTATGCGCAACGTCAGGCTCTCAACCGACCATTGTTTCAGCGTGTTTCAGCGTGCTACACACACAATAGTCGTGCTGGATACTGCTTGGCCTTGGGCGAGCGACGCCTACGGGCTTTGTCGTTTGCGCGCATACTTTTGTGCGCATGATCTTATACGCGCGAGATCATACGGCTTTATCGTTCTGCAGATCGTTGCTTCAAGCACGCTACAAAGTCAATAGTGGCGCTGGATACTGCTTGGCCTTGGGCCAATGACACTTACGGGCTTTGCTGCTTGCGCGCGTACTTTTGCGCGCATAAACTTATACGCGCAAGATCATATGTTGTTGTTATTCCCCAAATAGGGATAGCTATGGGGTTCTTGCTGCAAATAAGAATGAGCTGGCTGCGCGCGCTTTCGAAAGGGTGTCGGTGCTGGTGCTGGTGTTGTGGTCCTGGGTGCTGGTGCTGTGAGCTGGCTGAGCGCGCGTTTAAGATGGGCGGCGGCGCCGGTTGAGCGCTGGCACCGCTGCCGGTGTTATCAGCTGGCACAGCGCGCTGGCGCTGGTGTCAGCTGATTGTGCGCGCTGTGGAGGTGCCGCAAGCTGGCTGTGAAGGCTGCGTACATTCTTGCTCCAGCCAGTCGCATGTCAACGGGTAGGTATATCGGTATATGGTACCAACTCAACCCCTCTATTCTTCCCAAAAGGACATCACGCTGTGCAGCAAACTATTAACTTTACAATTGCAGATTTTTACTCAAAAGCTAGGGTGTTTAGACAAAGATGTTGTTGATGGACATGCTTGAATCGAGGACGATTGAGGGTTGCCGAGCCATTGGGTTTGTTGTCGCAATTGTATAGACTGACGTAGCTTTTCGCGCATTGCATGGTGCCTGCTGCTTGAAGCTTCATTCCGGAGAAAAGGAGAATGTTGTTTATTTGTGCGCAGCTTAACAGGCTTCACTGCCCTTTGAGTACTGTAATATTTTGCAAAGCTCCTAAAAGCAACATTTGACCAGCCCACCTATCTATCTATCTATCGATCTATCTATCTACCTACCTATCTATCTATTTATCTATCTATCTATCTATCTCTGTTGATGGATCATTGAAAACCGCTGGATACCATGTTCTTGTTTTTTCCCAGATAGCTGCAGGCTATAGGCTGCTTTGCTGATGCTGGTGCAGGTGCAGGTTCTGGCTCTGGATCGGCGTTTCGTTTTGCGGGCGCTGCAGCCGTGCTGGTGCTGGTGCTGGATCGGCGTTTTGTTTGGCCGGTTGTGGTGCCGTGCTGGTGCTGGCGCAGGCGCTGGCTCTGGATCGGCGTTGCCCAGAATGACATCATGTCGTGCCAGGGGTGACATCATGATGGCATCATGCCAGGGATGGCGCGATGTCGTGCCAGGCGTAAGATCATGTCATGGCAGGGATGAGATCATGTTTAGTGAGGGATGACATCATGTCATGCCAGGGATGGCACGATGTCATGCCAGGGATGACGTGATGTCATGCCCAGAATGACTGCATGTCACGCCAGGGATGACATCATGTCATGCCACGGGTGACATCATGTCATGCCAGGGCACGTCATGCCCAGAATGCCATCATGTCATGCCAGGAATGACATCATGTCGTGCCAGGCATGACATGCTGTCATATTGTGTGTGACACTGTGTTGTGCAGCAGTGATCATCGTGTTGTGTGGGCAGCTTTGGCTGACCCTTGCCCTTGCCGATCTTGCAGTTTTACGTCTGTGTTGGGCAAAGCGGGCGCATTCAGCTGATAGATGTTGCGCATATTGGTGGACTGGTCTGATGTTGCGTGCTGCGGTGACACGTGTCTGTGGTGTGTGCTTTAAGCGGATGCACCCGCTATCTGGGGTCTATGCCGATGCCGGTGTTTTTTTAGACTCAACATTGCCCCAATAAGAATGTTGGGCAGCTCATTGTGAGGCAGATGGCATCACATTTACCACATTCTGCGCATTCTTGGAGCACAGTGAGTTGGATGCGGCTGCAGTGCTTCGTGCGCTTGAGTCCAAGTAGCCTGGAGGCTTGTGGAGTGTCCGGGTTCAACGGTCGATCGGTGCCTCAACTAGAAAAGGCGATCGGCTGATGAGTCGTTGGACGTGACAGGCTCTTATGTGATGCCCTTTCTTGAGTGTTGCCAAGCCGGCACAACTGCTTACTGTTTGAAGAACTCGGGGTGTCGCTGAGGGATCTAAGGTGGCAACCATGGTTCAGATTTGAACTCTTTGGGGTGATGACTCCGACTTTTTCCTTAAAGTCTTAAAGGGCCACGGAGACGTCCGGTTCGGTCGCCGGGCTGGAGGTGCAGGTTGGGCTGCATGGCGAATTCATCAGCTGTGAGACTACGCTGGCATTGCTAAATGCATTTCTAGAGTTCAAAAGGAATTGACACATGGATGAGATGGTTTTGTGAGGGCAGTGTGAGTTCAGTGCAAAGAACGTGTTTGTTGTTGTTGCGCTTGTGTAAACGTTGGATGCTGAACTTGCTGTCCGAATGCTGGCAACAAGCTTGGATCGGTTTAAGGGTTGCCACCTAAGCAGTCGTTCGACCCTTGAGCGCGACGAACAGGCGGCAGTTTTTAAGAGCTGATGGGACTGAGACTGGGGCCAAGAAGGCCACATTGTACCTCACTTGTATGGTTTGATTCAATATTTCCTGTGACTTGGCATGTTAGAAAACAGATCAGATAAAACTCAACTTTGCCCCCTTTCCGTCCCTGCCCGTGTACAGACAGTTACCGTGGCTTATCGCCTAAGAGGCGCCTGACAAATGTCAAGCTGCCTTTGTCGCCTTCAGAGGCCTCTTTATTTTTACAATCTGGACGGTTGGGAAACCTTCATCAGCAACCTAGAACAGCCCTGGAACACTTCGAAAAGGAGCGTAAAGTCACTGTGGCCAGCTGCTTAAGGTGTCCCAACGTTTCTCTTGCAGCTTGCAGAGGAAAGGAGACTTTTTGAGTCATGACCACCGCAACACTATATGGCTTATCTCAGAACTGTGGTGTTGCAGCAACTACTAGTTACTAATGGCTAGTCGTATGTTGTGGCCAAATCTGTCAAGAACAGCGTAGTCAGCGCAGGTTGGTAGTCTGCATGACATTGAGTTTGGACCAGATTTTTGAACAGAAAAGCCCAATATTGAACCCCCAGACAATTCCATTCTCAGAAGATGTCTCCTGTGTATCGGCATTATGTCGTGCCCAGACTCCTCGCTGCGTGCAAAACAAGACATGGGCTTGCATTCAGCTGAGAGTTGAGTGTCTCAATGCACAATTGAATTCGTTCGGTTGTCTTGTCTCGGCTGGTTCTCTTTACCGAAGCTGGGAATGGGTCTTATGTGAAGATCCCTCTAGTCCCTCTAAGTTCTTGAGAGTGAGCCTGCTCAGCCTGGGCCTCGTCCTAGTCATGTTGTTGGGACGACTGAGAGCTTTGGCAGCTCAAGTTGCAAGAAGAGTTTCAACTTGGAAGCTGTTTCTAACTTGTTTCTCTGTCCTCTTTGCTTGGACTTTGTGTTGTTTGACTTCGTTCATGATAGACACAAGAAGCATGGGGTGGCTGATATAGAATCCCAAAAGAAGTGGTTGCTCATCCACCAGAACGGTGTGATCCAAGATGGATCGGGAGTCTAGAGTTGCGATGATTCTTCCCGCCTTTTGCATGGTTCGTGCCGGTTTTGGCCAATGCCCGGCCTGTGCTCGTGGTCGGACCGAGACTTTGTAGCTGATAGAGCGGGCCGAAACTGTGAGCTTTTATATAAGTACCACGACCGGCCATTCGATTCATCCACAACGGTGTCTTCCACAGAGGCGTTTGAAGGCATTGGCATTTTCTCCCCTGCCGATGTGGTGTTGAGATGTTGTCATCGTGCTAAGAAAAACTCAACAAAAGATGCAAAAGCCTCAGCAACAAGCAGGCAAATCAATCTACAGTAGAAACTGGTCATGGCCTTCGCTTTATTGGCCCCTTGGCTCACACAGATTCGGTCTTGACAACTGCATGTGTGTGCGGGACATTGGAGCTGTTGTATTTCTCTCTTTTCCTGACGGTCTTTCTGTGGTTGTTCCGTTCTTGTGACTAGGGGTTTGCCCCTCTCCGCCTTTCTTTCCTGTCATTCCGCACGGGCAGGTTTTTCTCTCTCTGCTTGTGGCGACCACACGGGCTGGTAGTGGCTGCAATGAGGCTGCGGATGAATCTAGGCAGAATGCGAACAGCAGAATGCTTCATGCTTCAAGCAGAGCACTGCTTCGATCTACTTCGGACTGGTTTCAACATGTTTCAACTCCAATGCAACAGTTCTGACATGAGACCTTGTGTTGTCCCTTTGGGTTGTCGTTGCGTTCTGCTTCAAATGCAACACTCAATTCACCGTCCGAGAGCGAGGATCCGGGTCCGTGGGTGAGCCAGTTGGACATTGAGAAGACTGAGGCCGTTCTGCTTGGGGGTAGAAAAGGCCAAACAGATTTGGAAAACATCGTTTGGGCGAGCCTACCAGATCCTAAAAGCTATCAATTTTATATAAAATGATCTTCTGAGGCCTGAGGCCATAGGGCCAATGGTGAAATTCCAGCGGGATTCATTCTGACTTTCACACATACAACGATTCTCAATTCTGACTACTGATCTGGGGGTGTCTAGCATGGCATCAAAAGTGGACACCTGTTAGCAGACCTCATGGCTTTGGGCGCTGCAGGAGGGCTTTGAGTTGCAGCTACACTTGGTGGGCGGAGATGTGGCAGCCTCCTCGACTGAGTCAGTAGAACTGACGCTTTCCACCAAGGCTGGCGAAGAAGTGTTGAAACAAAGTGGCCAAGAACTTAGTCATGTTGACCACGGAAGTAAGTAGTTAACAGTAGTTATTCTGTCTGAGCCTTGCTCTTTCTGATACCCTTCAAACACTTTTCAAGTCTGCATGCTACTTTGCTTCTTTGTTGGATCACTTGTATACATGCAAGGCAGTAGTTTGTTTCCAGGGTAAACATCAACTGCTGGCTCATCAACGTGAACTTGCAAGCTGCAGGATAAAAGAAAGAGCTTTGTGTTGATGAAGCACAACGCCCTGAAAGGAGGAATACTTGAGATTAGCCGCTTGGCAGTGCTGCCCAACTCATGCAGTATGTTCTTGATGGCTAAGAGCTCATTAGCTTGTCTTGTGTGGAACTTGAGCACCCGCTTAAAACACTCATGAAAGATTACACTAGACTGTCAGAAGGTGGCATCCAACTTTTCTTTGTGAGTTGGATGACATGTGTTAGGAGCAAGGACGCTACTAGGGGCTCCTGGCCGTACTATTAGGAACAAGAAGCTATACTGGCTAAAAACTTCGTGTTCCCAACGATTTTTTCAGACTTTTTGCGTGCGACGCCCAGGAACCGAAGAGGACTTGCTCTCCGGGCAGGCCTTCTTTGTGCAGGCAACCTTGGCGGAGTACAATGGAAACTCCCACGGCCCAGAGACCTTGGCATGTCAGGTGCGGCCACAAGAGCCACATCGCTACAGCTGTCTTCGTGTAGCTGAGCCAAAGAAGGCCTCTGAAGGTCCACTGCCTTCAGCTTCGTCTGGTGGACAAGATCAGCAGATGCAAATGCAAGGTATGCACCATGGCACAGCTGGATCCGGACATGAGCATCCTATGCACCAAGGTGAACACATGCAGGGCATGCATGGCATGCACGGCACGAAGGGCATGCATGGTTCAGGTATGCGTGGAAGTACATCGATGCGTGGGACAGCAGCTCCTACAGCTTCAATGATGGGTGCTCAACAAGCGCCCATGGCAGCTTTGCCACTCTCCCTTGGCGCTGTGTGCACCCCTGGCTTTGGGAACTGTCCAGCTGGAAGTGAGTGCAAGGCTGGGGCTGCTGCTCGACCCTGTTTGCTGGTGAAGTCTGGCCAGCATTGGCAGCAAACAAGCGGGTATTTGTTGGTATTAGGTTTCGAGTGGGGTTTGTCAGGAGTTTGCGTCAATCATGAATCGGGATCACTTCAATCAGCAGGGTCTCGCACGCAGCTGGTTTCGGGTGGGTTTTGACCTCTTGACACCTATCGCGGTGCCTAGTTCAGGTATATCGGAGAGAATTCACCTGCCAGCGACCTGCCAGAGCCTCAGTGGTATCTTGAGCGTCAATGGTAGATCAGAGTTGGAGTTGAAAGAGCTGTTTTGTACTGCACCCCAACTAGTCTCGGTTTAGACATGGGTATTGGTGCGGTCTCAAGGTCAAGTGGGACGATCTGATATTTTGTCCTGCAGAAACTGCTTGTAGAGTCTGGGTCTCCTTTCTTTTGGCTGCAACTGTTGTTTGCCAGATATTCAGGCTGATAGAGCGGTTTGACGTTCATGTTCAATGCAATTGACGATTGTTGCTTGAAGTTTTCCAGCAAAGGTTGCTTCCACTGTGGCAAAGGGCAGCCGCATGGTGCTGGTTGGCGGACTTGTGTCATGGCTTGTCATGGCTTCCTCTTCATGCCTTGACCGTCCTTGGATCACCATCTCTTCCAATACGACTCAAAACGGCCCAACCGGTCAATCCAACACTTCCGATGATTCTGTTGATTCTAAGACTGACACAATCACATTCACCGGCATTCACCTTCTTCTTTTTGAGTCTCAAGCTGCATGTCCCAGGTGCTCTTCGTTTTCCTCGGTGTCGTTGCCTGGCTTTTTCGCCAGCTTCGGGTCCGTTCCGGACGAAGCTTCGGCAGCTTGCCCAAGGTCCGGAGTCCCACCGGTGGAGATTTTGGATTCGCTGGCGGAAGTTCCTCCGGTCCATTGAAAAAACAGATCTGCTTCCGGAATTCCAGGAAAGAATCCACTTTAAACATATTGAATCTACATGGCCTGTTTCAAATAGGGTTAATGCAGTTTGATGATGTCCTCCTAGGATTGGAAGTCACCAATTGAATTGACCTTCCTAAGCATGGTTTCGATATGGTTTGATATGTGATCTGTGATTGTTTGCAGGTTGTGGGCAAAGCGAACATGGACTTGTCGACCATGAGGCCAAAAGGACCTGCGTACCAAGAAGCCTCCGACAGTGTTCCTCGATGCTCAAGACTTGGGGAAGACTATGCGGAAGTAGTTGTGTGTGATTGCTCTGGCAAGTTGCTATCCAAGGACGAAGACTACAGAGTCTTCTAGGATGGCATGGACGCATCACCTGCACCCCAAGTGTGAGAGGGTGAAGGCCGTGGGTGGGAAGTGTCTTTCAAGTGTCTAGAGTCCGCAGTACTATGATGCAGACAAAATATCCTATTGGTTTTAGCTGATAAGACCTTTTCCTTATTTTAGCTGTTTCGGTGTGTTTTGCCTCGCGTTTTAGTCCTGATTTCACGTTTGGTCCTTGATGCCTAAGTAGGACTTGGGTCTCAAGCTGGATTGGCAACGGCAGGGGCCATCCACCCCAATGAAACCATCAGACGGAATCATGGTATAGTCCCTACCTATGGAAACATGGGTAGCATTGTGATACAGTTGCCTGCGCCAGGCAAAAGCTGCACCGTAGGGCCTCTGGCAGTTCAGTATAGATCGGGACAACACGCCAGGCCACTGGTTGCCAGCTGCCTGAGGTCAGTCTAGTTTGGACATGTTTGTACAGAATTCATCGGCATCACATCCGTCACCACGAATCGGTGGAGCCGAAATTGGGTCAGCGGTGCGGAAGCACTACTTGCTCTTTGGATCCTTTTGTGTACTCTGTTGTTGCCATGTGTTGCCATCAGGAGGACATGTGGGGAGAACCTACTCCTTGGTACTGGCTTGAGCGAGGATTTGGCTGGTCAGAGACTTCAGCACCACGGTTTTTCAGCAGTTGTCAAGCCATCAAAGACTGGACCGATGAGGACAAGGCTTGGGAAAGCACTGAATGACTGACTCCAGCAAAAGACGCACACAAGTACAGTAACAAGAGGACGCTACTAGGAACAAAGGGCATCGCTACTAGGAGCAAGGCCGCTACTAGGGGCGCTCCGGCCTTACTAGTGACAAGAAGCTACTAGGAACAGCTGTCTGTGTTATGACATTTGAAAGAAGTATGAAAGAAGCCACAAGGGTATGATATTGGCGCCATGAGAGGGATTGAAGATGAACCCACACATCACGCACACATGTTGGGAAGTCGCGAGTACACACTACATAACGGTGTGTCGGGCTGAGCGTGCCTGAAAGCTCTATCTCTTCATCAGCTCTACCTTGCTTAGCCTGCTTGGCAGCTGGCACAGATGTCGCAGTGGGTTCAGGTCACTCAGGGTCGCTGTTTGTCATACAAATCTACCACTCAAGTGCTCGAATGATCAAAGTTGCTCTGAGTGCAACTGTACACAGACCTCTTTCCAAGTTGTACTGGAGCTCAAGCTTCGCTCAAAGATCAATGCAACCCTGAAAGGACATTTGTAGCTTTTGTTCAAGGTGTTCACTTTTGTGGTCGGTCGTTTTCATGTTCTTTCCCTACCGAAAGTCTGATTCACTGATACATTCTCCACACTATCTCAACGCCCCTGTGCTTATTGGGCAGCGTTTAAGACGCTGTTCTCCGGAACCTGTCTAAGCCAGTTAGAGCCGTGGCCAAGACGTGCCTCGCAAAGCCACATGGCCATGTGTGAATCAGTCCAAAGCTGCAGTGAAAGTGGCACATCTTGGGACTGCTTTGGGCAGTTGGCTGCTTTGCATCGTAGCCCATGATTTTTCCAGCAGAGCGCCAGCTGGAAAAGGAGCGACGCGGTTTGAGAAAGATATCCGAACCTATTCCAAGAATTACTTTGCTGCAGTCGACATGGGTACAAAGGAACTGACAATCAATTTGAGGTGTTGGACTCAGCCTATCGGCTCCCTTTCTTGACCGCTTTGTTGTATTTTTGAGAAATCTAGTTCATGAGCTTGGAGTTGCTTTCATGCTTGAGGGTTCATGTCGGCTTTTGAGCGGTTGAGACATTCCCGCTGCCGTACAGGCCTTGAGCTGATAGGCTGAGGAAATAGCGTTCTTTCGTTGGTCGATTCCCTTCCCGCTACCGCAGTGGTGACGCGGAGCTTGGCTTCTTTTGTCCGTGGCCCTTTGGTGGCCGCGCTTTCGCACTCCGCCTTGGTTGATAGGACAGCGAGCCTTGAGTGGCTCATTCGAGACCGTGGACTGGACTAGACCTTGTTCGACGAGCCGGACGACCAGGTGCATGCATGATGTCGGAGGACAAAGGGCATGGGTGTGCTGGCGGCTGGTCAGAATCTGGATTTGACGCTTCGATCCCCGTTTGGGACGGACGTGCTGACACCCTTCGAGAATTCAAGAAGACAGTTACTTGGTGGCTATCTAGTATAGATCTGTCGAAGACACGTTTCTTCAATTTGGCTGCCAGGTTTGCAATGCGACAGAAGGGTTCGGCAAAACTTCGTGCTTTGGAGTTTTCTCCGGATGAGCTGACCTTTAGTCCGGAAGAGAGCATTGATGATCCGGACAAGCCCGACGAGAAGGTGGTGCTGAAAGAAGCCGATTACACCATCGGCATTTGGAAGTTGATTGATGCATGGGAAACAATGGTTGGCAAGACCGTGAACGACAAGAAGGGCGAGTTGAGAGAGAGATTTTATTTGTCCTTGAAGCGTTCACCACAGGAATCCATCGCTGCCTTCTCCCTTCGGTTCCGCACTCAGATAGCTGAAATGCGTGCTGAAGGTATATATCCAGCTCAATGACGAGGAGGCCGCTTGGTTTTACAGACAGAAGCTGCAGTTGACAGAGATTCAAAAGCAATTGTTGGAAACAGCCCTCTCCTCTGCCGGTGAGAGCTATGCTGAAGCTGAGAGAGAAGCAGTCCGGTTGTTCAAGCGCATTCACATGACTGGACCGAGCTTGAATCCTGCCCCTTGGAAGAGACCACCCCTGAAGCCGTTTTCTGGAAAAGGTTTTTCTTCGGGTCGTAGGCCATCCTCTTCAGGTTCAACAGTTGTTTCAGCAGCTTCTGGATCCTCTGGTTTTTCCAAAGGATCTCGCATGTCATTGGGCGCTTCAGCAGTCAATGTTGCCGAGCAGGAGCCGACGGAGGAATTTGATGGTGAGGACTATGAGGCCTGTGAGGCCGTTGGTGAGTTGACAGATGATCATCACGATCAACAAGATGCAGAGTTGTTGCAGGTCCTCAACGACGAGGTTGAAGTGCTGGCAGCTGAACTTGAGGCTGCAGCCAATGAAGGCTGTGATGGCGCTGAACTTGAAGCACTTGAGGAGCAGCTTGATGGAGCCGTTGAGGCTTTGGTGACATTGAGAGAGGCGAGAACTCAGATCGCCTCCATGAGGAAGGATCGCGGCTTTCGTGGCCCTGGCATTGGAAGTGGTTCAAATGCTGGAAAGAAGAAAGCTGGAACATGCCACGTGTGTGGCCAAGAAGGGCATTGGAAGGGCGATCCTAAATGCCCTGGACCTTCCTCATCGAACCCGTCATCTGGCAAAGGCAAAGGCAAAAAGGGCAAGCTGCAGTCCGCTTTGAAAGGTGTTCGAAAGTCAACCACCGAGTCCCACATCGCAGAAGTGAATGTGATTGATTTGCTTCCCCCAGTTCGTGAAGTCGCCTTCCAAACCGGACCTCCTGATGTACATGAGATTTCGGTCACCGAGTGTTTGTCTGAGGTTCTCATGTCGTTGTCCAGCAGCCACCACCTTTCCGAAGACAAGATTTTGCAGGCAGCGTTGGACAGTGCCTGTAATCGATCGTGTGCGGGTACTCTATGGATCTCTCATACTGAAGCAGCATTGGAGAAAGCCCCAAACTATATCAAGGAGTTGATCCAGCGAGTTCCTGAACACGAGAGATTTCGTTTTGGGAATGGAGGGCGGTTGGTGAGTCGAGAACGAGTCCGACTTCCGTTTGTGGTAGCTGGCAAAGTGATCCTTGTTTGGGTTTCTTCAGTGCCGTGTGCATCCCTGGGTCTTTTGTTGGGCAAAGATGCATTGGACGCCTTGGGTTCATTGTTGGATTTCATGGGCAATCGCATCCAATTTCAGTTGCTTTCCCCTCAAAAGTGGATCCCATTGCACAAGTTGTCAGCTGGTCATTTTGCGATTCCTTGCCTTCCTACTCCTCTCACCCGCTGGCCGTCATTGAGTTCGCAACCATGGGTTCGTGTCGGCAAGGGTTCATGCTGTGAAGTGCAAGTAGAAAGCAAACAACAGTGGATTTTGAAGAAGCTTCGAACGACTTTTTCACAGAGTTGCACCTCGGAGCCTGAGAGTCAAGTGGTTGAGCATTTTGTTTCTGCTAGCTTTTTGGATTTGAGCTTGGAAGCCTTGGGCGATCATGCGAGCCGCGCTACCGAGATGGCAGCCTCACGGCAATCGGCAGCCGCCTTTGCGAGCGGCCTTTCGCTGGAGTCGCATGTTCACCCGCCTTGTTCACCGAGCTCTATGGCATTGGCGCGGCCTGCTCCTGTGGCTGATTCAACGGCCCTATTTGAGGTATGTGCCGTGTCCTCTTCCTTCAGTGACGACGGCGCCGGAATGGCATCAGCAGGTGGATTCCATGGTGGCACGAGGTTCATGGCCTCATCGATGGCAAGCCCGCATCAACATCGGGACACTATGCACAGCCGTGCATTTGAAGAGGCCACCCACCTTCGAGATCGTTTGGGACTCCGCCTGTCCTTCCTGGAGGACGAGATGATCATGTTCGGCCTGAAAGCCTTGCAGAAAAACAGATCTGAGAAGCAGCGGCAATGGAGGCCCAGAGATTGCTCAGCCTGGGCAAGCAGGAGCGCACAATGCAGCTACGCGCCTTGCTGGGGCCAAAAGGAGGCTTGCCGCGGCTCAAGGAAGAATTGCAGAAGGCTGCTGCTTTGCTCAATACACCCCTGTCTCCGACGGCCACCGTCGACGAGATTCGGAAGCTTTTGCAGCCCATCGTCAAAGACTAAGACTTGATCGCCAAGCCCAACTGGGAGGCTCCAGATGTGCCCAGGTCATCGCAAGCAGTAGCGAAAGCGAAGGCCAAACCGTGCGCAGCTCCAGCAACAACAGTACAACCTCAGGTGATCAATCTGGCTTCACAGGACGCGGACGAGGCTCTTCGACGACTTCAAGATCTTCCAGACGAGCATGTGAGAAGGCTGACTATGGGCGATCCCATCTGGGATCAGGCCGGGGAGCAGGAGGCGATGTC